AAATTAAGGTACTTGTGTTTATGCTTTGTGTGTAACTGTTTGCCTTTTCTAAACTGCTTTTCTTGTTATCCTGTATAATTCTATTAGTTATATCATGTTAAGTGAAGAGGCTCTTCATGCACAAAATGCATCTATGTAGCAGCAGAGTAACAGCATTTGTACATTTTCTCTGTCTCCTGATGGCAGCGGTGCCTTTGTCACCTTTTGGGAAGTGGCATTTTGTTTTCATTTTGAATTGTAAGAGTTTGCTTTTGACTTCCCAGAAATCTCCCCAAATGTAAAAGATAGAAAACGGCGAGGTGCCGTCCAGGTGCAACTGGAGCGTTTGCATTTTTATTTCTGTCCAAACAACTGTAGTTAGGGGGAATGGCCAGTAATTATGTGTGGAGTCTTTAAGCCAAGAATAACATTTAAATTTTAAAATATTAAAGTTCCAGCGGTGACCAGTTAGCAAATGCAACCTAGTTGGAGCTCTAGGGGAGGACTGTCCTGGAGTGTCTCTGAAGAGGCAAGACAAGACAAGGGTGCAGGGAGCTGGGCGTGTAGCACCGTCAGCACGGCCCGTGGCTGTCACTGTCACTCACGTGTCCTGTGCCTCATTCTCTGTGCGTGCGTTTCCCGGGCCGTCCTGTCAGCAGCTACTCCACCAGCTTTTAGGCCGTTTACGAGTAAACGCAGACTTCTTTTTCTTTTTCTTTAATTTTAAGATTTTATACTACATCTTGTTTAAAGTCCTATGAATGTATGTGTGTGATTAAAACAGCTTTTTCTCAGTTTGAACACGTGTTTGGTAACATTTGTTTGGGAATGGGAATGGCTAAGTGTCTGGAATGTCCTGTTTCTCCCCCTATCCCATTCCTGGTTTTTAAACTGATTTCTTCCTTCCTCTTGCTTTGGAGTCTCCTGTTACCTTGATGTCTCCTGTGTCTCAAGTAAATACAGCTGTTGTTGTACATAGTTGACTTTTACATAATCCAGTTAATAATTTGCTGTATACTTTGTAGTGAGGAATTCAGCAATCTCATTTCTGTATCACTTCATTCACTATGCTCAGTCAGCTCACGAGTACCTACTACATGCTAGACACTCTTTAGAATTTAGTGATCTAGTGGTAAACAACATAAAACAGCTCTTATGAATCCTGCCTTCTGGTAGCCAAGTTTAAAAAATACTTCCTGTTATTGGGCAATGGACTGGAAAAGAATACATTTGATCTGGCACCCTGGTCTACAGTCCAGAACCAGAAAGACAAAGCCATCCAATACAGACTGCAGACTCAGGGCCACTTCCAGACTGCCAGGGGTTACAGCTGGGAGCTGGGGGGGGGGGTGGAGTATGGGGGGATGTAGGCTGATACCTCACTAGAGAAGCTGTTCTTATGAATTCATTGTAGGCATGGTTACCAGAGGCTTGGAGTTCTAGAACCATGCCAGTATTTCTCCCTCTGACAGGCTGGTAAGAGGAGACTATTTGTAGGACACTTTTCTCCTGACAGTAGGGAGGATTAGGAGAATGTGAGGTTAGGCAAAAGCAGACATACTGCTTTAAGTTCTCACTGAGAGGCAGATAGCACAGCCTTGTGTGTGACCTTGCCCATAGTCCCAACTTCACAAGGCTCATCATACCAGCCCTTTGATCTTTGGCAAGTTACTTAACCTTTCTGAGCTGTATTTCATCTGGTAAAAGGGAAAATAATGGTGTCTATCTCGAGTGTGTGGGATCTAAAGGAGCTAATAAATGAAAAGTGTTTAGCAAAGTGCCTAGTGTACAGCAAGAACTCAATGAATACCACCTGTTACTCTTTAGCTACAACTTGAGTGCCTTCTCAAATAACAAATTAATGCTAAGGCATTTGGGGGTTCACTTATGTTTGAGCAAACCATCTCTCTTAAGTGTACATGTACCAGATCCCTTCTGACATTGGGCGTTCTGGAGGCTTCTCTGCTACTGGTGAAAATTTTACTTGGTGACTTAGGCCCAGCATGCTAAAGCTGAGAAAGGGTTGGTGGGTGGCGATTTTCCCACATTTGTGGACATGTCCTGACACCCTTTTTCCTTGCTAACCATCCCCAGGCTGGAGTCGAGAGGGCAAACCAGAAGGCCCAGCTTTGGGTCTGACTCCAAGACAACTGGCTGGGAGGAAAACTTAACAGGCAAAACAGGCTTCTGAGGCACAGTGGAACAGTGAGACTACAGCATTGTTGCACAGTCCTTTGAAGAGGCATCTCAGCTGTATATGTGGCCAAAATAAAGATCGCACCACCTAAAGGGAGAGTGCTGGGCAAACCAGAGGTGGAGATGGCAAAGCAGGAACAGCAGTGCTGCCACAGTGAACAGGAAGCAGAACAACTTGACTAGGCCAGAGTTCTCTTGCCTCAGGGAACCACTGCTCATGTTTCAGGAGTCCATACCTCCCCCCTTCACCTAGGATCCCTGCTACAGTGAGTAACTGCTCTGTGCAAAGCTGGAGCCAAATGCTGGTGTGTAGGTGGCAGAGGACAAGTGGCCCTCAACCAGTTTCTTAAACCTAAGATGGGGAGAATAGCTTAGCAAAAACAAAATCACATTTGTGCTGTGTGTGTGAAGTATGCCGGAAGGTTTTCAAATGGGATCCTCACCGCCCACTGTCAAGCAGCCACGGTAGTGACATGAAGGATGAGTAGCAGCTCAAACAATGACCTGTCAGTGTCCCAGGACCCAAATTCAACAGGTTAGGATTATCTTTTGGTTTTAAATCTCCTGCTATCAATGTGCCCCTCATTTATATTTTATCAGAGTTGCAGAGATGAGTAGTGTCCATCCAAGAGGCTTTCTATAGAAAGTTCCATGAATTGCCATCACGTGTGATCTTTCATTAAGTTCAGAGATAAGTTGGTGGGGTGAGAGCAGCATGAGATGATCTGAATCTATTTTCAGAAGTACTGAAGTAACTGCCCAACTAGTTAAGCCAGAGCCTTGTTAGAACTCAGTATTGGGACTTAAACATTTTGTCCGTTTGAAAATACATAGGTACTGAGCTTGCCATCAGAACACCTTAGAGGAGGAAAGCTTGCCTTGTAGAATGTAGGTGAGTGAGATGCTAAACCTACCGCCTAATGATGTTGGCCTGAGGTGTCTGAAGTCAACACTGAGTTGTCGGCCCTCAGCCCTCTGGGCCCCTGTGTCAGGTACTTTGGGGCTAGCAATCTTCCTGACCTCCCCACTCTGTTACCCCAGCCCTCCTCCCATAAGAACTGTAGATATATCTTTTGAGCCATTTCATTCCTGGTCTTCACAGCTGACTCCCTACTCAATCCATCTGTTCTTCCAGAGTTTTTGTCTGTGGTCTTTTCCAAACTATCTGACTTCTGTTTCCCGCTAGGAAGCCTCCCGTCTCACCAACTAAACTCCCTGACCTCTTTTATGTCCCTTCTGCCTACTCCCTAGTTCACACGTGTGTACAAGCTTGCACGTTTCTGCCTTTGTCCTGGTGGTTTTCCTTCCAGCTTGCCCTGCATCCCTCTTCAGGATTTTCCAAGGCTGACTGTCCTCTCTGTAAGCACAAGATTGAATTTCAAGGCAAGTTATTTAACCTGGTAGAGCCTATCTTCCTGTCTATAAAATGGGGTTATCAATCCATTAAGGATAGGATGAGGGTACAGGACATTCTTTGTAGAAGTGTGAGTACACTTTAATGTATTTCTCCCCAGCCTCCTCCCTCGCCACGTACACACAGATCCTATTTGCAGAGTGCTGGGGAGGTGGAAGTGCGACTTGGGCCCTGCTGTCTAGCAATCTGCAGTCACACACAAGAGCCCAGACTACTAGATTGTATGTGATGACGTGCCAAAATGAGCTGTGAGGAATTCAGAAAGGAGGAATTGGGTGTCTTTCCCAAGGTGTCTTCAGTTGAGTAATGACAGAGCCACTTGAATCCTGGTTACCCTCTCTCAAGCCAGTGCTCATCCACCTGTTACCCCAGACCCCAGTCCCCCGGGACTCAGTCAGAGTCCTGGATACATGCACAGGTTGATTATGTCTGTGACCCTCGTTATTCTGGCCCCACTCTGGGCCTGTATCAATCTTGTCTTGAATGAGGGAGGGAGTGCCAGGCTAGGTCATGTCTAGAGCTTGGGTTTGATCCAAACCCTAGAGGGTCCTTAATATTAGCTATGGGGAGGAGGCATGGCCTGAGTTGAAGGGAAACTGCAGGACCACAGATTACTTGGTAAGGCCATTCCAGTTGAATGAAAGGAACTGGGGAGTTAATTGAGGGGCTTGCCCAGATTGCTGCTGGGTAAGGTGGTCGCAGTAAGAACGATGCTCAAGATGAGCTGAAAAAGAAGGCAGGTGTCTTGAGTGGCCCAGTCCCGGAGGAGATGATCCAGGATTACCTCTGATTTCATTGAGTGCACAGGGGCAAATATATCCAGATTTAGCATTTTCTTTGTGCACTTACAGACGGACAAGCTGTTACTTCATCGCTGTAGGGTCCCCCCAAACCCTGCACCCCCTCCCCCCAACCAAACACACCTCAGACCTTAAGATCTTGGAAGGACACAGGCAGGCTCCCTGTGTTCAGAGTTGCCAAAGCTTGGTTTCTACCCACATGTGACCCTTTACACCGGAGGTAAGAAGGGGTGGCAAGTGTGCAACAAAAGTCCTGGTCCCTCAGAGTCAAGCTCCCAGAGCACAGCTTTGCCAGTCCCCGGTAGGGTCCCAGGGCTGGGAGCAAGGAAGGTGGGCGGTAAACCCAAGGAGAGCGCGCTGGTGGTGAGGCCACCACCAGGGGGCACTACCGGGACATGGCCTTGCGTGGAGCGGTAAGGTGCGGGCGGGCAGAAGCCGCGGGGCTCGGTAAGAGTCTCGGCCTCCACCTGCTCTATTGTGTCCGCGGCGGGCGCCAGCGGAGAGAACTGAGCCCTTCCCCGCACCCCGCCCTGCCGGCCCCGCCTCCCGGCCCCTCCTTTCAGGCCCCTGCCCCACCCCCGGCTCCGCCTCCACACCCGCCCCGCCTCTGGCAGCGGCCCCTTCTCCCGCAGCTGGTGCTGTGCGGCCGCCGAGCCGCGCGTCACCGTCTCTATGGCCGGGGATCCGAGCGCAAAGGTGAGAGGGGGAGTGCGGAGGGCGGCAGGGACAGGGCTGAGGGGGCGGGGGCCGGGCCCGGCGCCCCACTCCCATGCCACCTTCCCGGCGGGGGCCAGGCCTTTCTCCCCGCCAAGTCCCGCGGTCCCGCATGAAGGATCCAGAGGGGCGCGGGCCAGGCCTCGGGCAGCGCTCGGCGCAGACCCGCCACCGCTGAGTCGCAGGCCGGCGCGGGGGCGGGGGCCCGCGTGGCCAGCAGTGTTCTCGGGATCTGGGTCACATCTCCCAGCGTCCAGCGGGATCGAAGGAGATCTTGTCCTCGAGCTACAGCAATAGAGACTGAGGTTAGACCTGGGAGAAGAGGGAAGCACGGGCTGCCCAGGCGGTGGAGGGGTGGGGGCTAGGCCCTTGGACCAGGAGAGACCTCCATCCTGCCGGGCGGAGGGGGACACTGCCTGTGCTAGGTAGGCAGACAAGTGGGGGGAAGGTCGCCCCCCCTGCCCACCCTGTCTTGGAGGCCTGCCCTCCACAGTTCCTGCACCCGAGGATCTAATAGTGGGTAAGTGACCAGAGGGGGCTGACCCTGGGGAAGAACCCAAACTATGCACTGGGGGTAGAGAGTGAGGTGCGGACTGGAGCCCTTTAAGCCTCTTCACCACTGGGGAAAAAGGGGCAGCGCCCCACCCCTCCATTTAGCCTCACCCTCCCTCGCAACAGGTTAAATGGGGGCTGAGGGCTTCTACCCAACTCCCCGATCTCCAACTGCAACATGGGTGCATGTAGAGGAGTGCTAGTGACCGCTTCTGCCCATCTACCTTTGCTCAGGGCCTCCTCCTGCCGGGGTTAGGTCCCCTCCCTCCCTTGCAGAGCAGCCTTGACCCATGTACCCATTCCATTTGAGTGTCCAAGGTCAGAAGCTTCCCCCATAACTATACACTCAGCTGGAATCTGGCCTTAGAATTGGGACTTTCGGGAAGGGAGGCGGGATTCTGCTCTGCATGGCACCCCCAATGGCCACTGGCCGTCTCCAAGATGTGAGAGAACTGGACCCCTGCGAGTGTGTTGTAAGTATGCTTACCTGTGCATAGAGGTGTGTGTGTGAGGACTCGTCCCTTCTGTGATGACGGTCCCTGAACTGCGTGAGTAGTGTTGTATGCACATCTGTACGTGTGTGTGCCAGACCCTCCCGTGCAGTGAATGCTGGTATGATCACCACCTGTCAGCCTGTGAGGCAGTGTGACCTGCTGAATGAATGGGCATGTGTGCGCAAACACCTTCCTGTGCACGTGTGTGACTGGTGAGTTTATGTGTTCACAGCCCTCCTGTGAACATGTGTGTGCACCTGTGTGCATGCACCTTACCCTACAGTCATGTGACTCTTGTGTAAACCTGTGTGAGTATGCCGTGCTCCGCACTCTGGCTGCTCTCACCTGGGTGTGTTCCTCCTGCCCAATCCTGGGAGCCCAATCTCTAGCCATAGGGTTTCCCCAACCCCCTCCTGCACTAAGCAAATAGGAGGCCCCAAAGGTAAACAGGTGTGCCTCAGGTGAAGACTGTGGCATCAGCAGTTTGCCCGAGGCTGTCCCTGCCCCAACTCCCAAAGCCCAAGTTGATGCCCCTCTGCGGTCCAGGACCCTCTTTCCTCTCATTCCCTTTCCTCCTCTGGGTCCTGCTCACTAGGGTGCTGACCTTTACTTCTCAAACAAATGTTCCCAACTCTTGTTCTCCCACTGGCCAGTTCCTCCCCTTCCATCAAGGCCACATAGTTAATATTTTACTTGGAAGAGAAGGGAGATGCCAGTAGCCCCTTTGGCCCTGTTTGTGGGCATCTGATGGGATCAGGTGGGTCAGGCTTCCCGCACAGGAAGCTTTTAGTAACCCTGTCAGAGATCACACTGGTTACAGAGTCAGAGGAGGTCTGTCCCTTCCCCGGTCCTCCATCCCCAGCTGGTTGGCTTAAGAGAGGATCAGGGGTGGGAACAGCCTCCAAGATGTGCCAGGGAGTGCTGGTCAGATGCTCAGGCCCTATCATCTGCTCTTTCCCTTCTGCTCATGGCTCAGTTAGCTGGCCCTGTGCACTCCTGCACGGACATTACACCTGTGCAGCCAGGGCCAGGGATCCCCATGCCTATGAGTGCCTCTTTGCAGGTAGGAGCATTCGTGGATGACCAGCCAGAGGGTGCAGTACTGACTCAAATGGGCAGGGCAGAGATATGCACCCCCTCAGAGAAGAATGCTGAAGAGGAGAAGTGTCCAATTAAAGAGAAATTCCAGAGGGAGCTCTCAGGCCAGGGGAAAGAAAAAACAAAGGGAAAACAGGGCAAAACAAACAAAGGCCCATTAACCATCTCTACCCAGCCCTCCTGCATAAGGCACACCACCCCCCACGCCACCCCCCCCACCCCCTCAGGCCACAGGGACAGCTGTTTGCCTGGGTTGAGTGAAGCCGAACCCCCACAAGGTGGTTGTCTAGCTAGATTTCCGGTGTGCTGGGGGGAGGCCGGTGTGCTGGGGGGTGTGCTGGGGGGAGGCTGGTATGCTGGGGGGTGTGCTGGGGGGAGGCTGTCACCTGGAGCTTGGGTTGGAGGGAGTCTAGGGCCTGGTAAGGGGAGTGAATTCCACACAACTTGCAGCCTCAGAGCAGACAGTCCATCATGAGAGGGGGGGGATTCTGTGAATGCTGGAACCCCTCGGTTTCGTGCCCCCTGAGTCAGAGGCCATGCTGTCTACACTCCACCCTCACAGATCAAAATCTTTCTGGTATTTTTTTTTCCTTCAGAAAGCGGACCTCAGAAAACCAGGACAGGTCCTGCTGTCGGAGCTGGGTGACCCCACCAGTCACCTACAACCCTCCAGTGACCCCATGACTCCCTTTCACCGTGGAGTTTGTTTTTGATGCGGAAAGGTGGTATACAGTGCACTCCCCTCTCTGACCTCTGCCTGGGATCCCATGGCCACACAACCCTGTGATTCCAGTTCCCCCCGATTCCAGGACCCTCCTTGGCCACATGACCTGTAATCTTCTGAGTGACCTCCCTGGACCTTGATGCCTGTGACTGTTGTTCCCACTGTCCCCTTGACTCTGGCCCTGGCTCCCCTTGGGGGTCTTGTTGGTCTGGTCCTCCCCAGGAAGATGTGGGGGAGGCTCTGGGCCCTCCTGCTGAGCCTCCTCACAGCCACTGCAGTCCCTGGACCCTCACTGCGAAGACCTTCCAGAGAACTAGACGCCACCCCTCGAATGACCATCTCCTATGAAGGTTAGACCCCGCTACCGTGAAAGCCTGTGGAAACTAGGGCTAGGGCTGGGGAGCAGCCCTAGAACTGGGCTCACAGCTTCAGCTCTCCCCAGAGCTTTCCGGGACCCGGCATTTCAAGGGCCGAGCCCAGAACTACTCGACGCTGCTGCTGGAGGAGGCTTCAGCAAGGCTGCTGGTGGGGGCCCGAGGCGCCCTGTTCTCTCTCAATGCCCACAACATAGGAGATGGGGCTCACAAAGAGGTCAGCTCCTGCTACCTGGACCACCCAGGGTCTGTCCCGTTTTGTCCGACTCCCTGGGCCCTGCTGGCTTTGCGTAGCCCCCGTTTGGACAGTGCTGCCCTTCCCGGTCCAGGCCTCCTATTTCTGACGCTCCTCCTGAAATGTACCCGCCCCCGTTTCCCAGCTCCCTGGGGTCCTGCCGCCTAGGTCCAGAGGCCATGGGGAAACACGAGGGTTTTGGGGTCAGTGCGTCAACCCACTCTCTTTCGCCCCTCCAGATCCTTTGGGAAGCCTCTCCGGAGATGCAAAGTAAATGTCATCAGAAAGGGAAAAACAACCAGGTATGTGGTCTGCCTTGTGCCCGCTCCTTTCTTCCTCCTCAGTGTTGACATCAGGACTGGCGGAGACGCAGCAGAGGTGCAGATCAGCCGGTCAGTTGCAGCAACCACAATTAACATTATAGATGTTGCTGGAGTGCCAGGCCCTGGGCGCAGCACTTCTAGTCAAACATCTGGTGACTTATTAGCTTGGCCTGCATTGGCATGTTAATCTCTTCTGGGCTCCCAAGCGATAATCATGATAACAACAAGCAATCTCTAGTAAGTGCTGACTTAGCTAATATCTTACCTACTTCTAAAGTAATCTTATGAAATGCTAAAAGGCGAGAAGGACTCTTACGAGGCAAAGAAGAGGGTGGCCGCTGAGCATGTGTGGTGGGCAGAGCAGGCCAGTGCGCTGGCGAAGGGGCGTGAGCCCAGAGGGAGGCAGGGCGGCGCCCACAGGGCTGGGGCACAGGACTCTGCTCAGTGGACTGCCTCAGGGAATTAAAACACTGCCCTGACAGGATCTGGTTGCAAGAGTGTGCTAGCTGGTCGGCTATCTCTAGAAAGCCCAGACAATGGCAAAACAGCATTCCCCTCTGAAGGCAACGGGGTTAAAGAAGATTCTATTTACAACACGTCCCTGTGTACCTTTTGAATTTTATACTGCTCTCATACCCCTCATTCATTCAATGAATAAAATACTTTTTATAAAGCTTGGTTTGGGGGTTCGGAGGGCTGTCGGCGAGGCTGCTGCTACTCAGGGCAGAGGTGGTGGTGGCAATCTGGATGAGGATGACGGAGGTGGAGAAGTAGAACGAGTCAAGAGACTTCCTCAGGGAGAGGCACTGGAGGAGTGGGAAGCAGCGGGGATGACTCCTGGCGTCTGGACTGAGTAATGGATGGAGGGATGGAGGGAGGGAGGGTGGGAGGTGGGAAAGACAGGACGGACAGGTTTAGGAGGGAAGACAGCAGTTAGGAGCAAGGGCGAGCTGCTTTCTGACAGGTGAGTTTGATAGGTCTGTGGTTTATCAGGTGGGGAGCGCTGGAGCCTGGTATTGTCACCCCAGGGGGGTGTCAGAGCTCTAAGATTGAAGGGCACTGCTGAGAAGATAGGGTGCAGAGAACTGCTGGACAAGCAGGAGAAGCCAGCAGAGTAGCCGACCCAAGCGGGAAGAGAAAAGGGTCAAGTTGTGGGGAGCCCAGAGGCGTTCCCGGGGAGATTCTGTGTTGGGGGGGGCGGGGAGAAGGCCCACTGGAGCCTTAGAACTCTCCATCCTGTGGAGGAGACTAGGGTGGAGAGCTACGAAGCGGGACTAACAGGAGGCCTTTGAGTCACCGAGCCGCACAGCACCCTCTCCCCCACCCCACAGACCGAGTGCTTCAACCACGTGCGATTCCTGCAGCGGCTCAACGCCACCCACCTGTACGTGTGCGGGACTCACGCCTTCCAGCCCCTCTGTGCGGCCATTGTGAGTGCGCCCTGCCGGCCCTGGCCACTGCTCCAGACCCCAGGCCGTGTGCGTCTCGGGCCACACCCCTGACTTGCGCCCCTCGTTGCCCCAGGATTCTGAGGCCTTCACCTTGCCAACCAGCTTTGAGGAGGGGAAGGAGAAATGTCCGTATGACCCAGCCCGAGGCTTCACGGGCCTCATCATCGGTGAGCGCGCCCGCGCCCCACGCCGGCCCTCACCCATAATCACGCTGCTCCGTGGGCCAGGGATCTTGGCACGAGGCCTTGGCACCCATGTGTCCTGTGCCTTATTGTCTGTGACCTGTTTCTCATCCTGCCTGGCCCTGCTGCAGATGGAGGCCTATACACAGCCACTCGGTATGAGTTCCGGAGCATTCCTGACATCCGCCGGAGTCGACACCCACACTCCCTGAGGACTGAGGAGGCGCCCATGCACTGGCTCAACGGTTAGGAGGGTGGGGCAGGGGGCTGTTTCTTCCCTTGACTCCCTAGGCAGTTGGCCATCCCACCCCCAAATGCCCAGGTGAGCCTACCTATTCCTGGGTGCGGAGTGAGGGGGAGAGGCAGGGGGAAGGGACCCAGCGTGTTTCAGAAGCCACTTGGACTGCCTGGCCCACAGATGCTGAGTTTGTGTTCTCCGTCCTGGTGCGTGAGAGCACGGCCAGCGCCGTGGGTGACGACGACAAGGTTTACTACTTCTTCACTGAGCGCGCCGCCGAGGAGGGCTCGGGCAGCTTTCCCCAGGGCCGCAGCAGCCACCGCGTGGCCCGTGTGGCCCGTGTGTGCAAGGTGAGTGGGCTGAGGTTGGAGCGAGCACCCCGAGGCCGGAGCGCTGACCCCGCCCTCATCTGTGTCCCCGCCTCCCAGGGGGACCTGGGCGGGCGGAAGATCCTGCAGAAGAAGTGGACGTCCTTCCTGAAGGCGCGCCTCTTCTGCCACATTCCACAATATGAGACTCTGCGTGACGTCTGCAGCCTGGACACCGACGCCTCGGCCCGCACACATTTCTACGCTGCCTTCACGCTGACCACACAGTGGTCAGTGCAGGGATGGTGGGGAGGCAAGGAAGTGGGGACAGCGGAGGGGCTGGCGCGGAGCTCAGTGAGGACGAGACCATGCTGGAGGGCTGGCTGCAAGAGGGAGACTGCCAGGCGCCTCTAGCGAGCAGGGCCAGAGGTCGCAGTGGCTATTGACCTCAGGAGCAGGCAGTGTGCCTGGAGCTGGAAGTGGCCAGGATAATAGTGGGCTCTAGACCGGGCAGGGTACCCGCCACACTCAGCGTGACTCACCCCCTCCCCCGTGTCCCGCCCTCAGGAAGACACTGGAGGCCTCGGCCATCTGCCGCTATGACCTGGCTGAGGTGCAGACTGTCTTCACGGGCCCCTACATGGAATACCAGGATGGTGCCCGGCGCTGGGGACGCTACGAGGGCGGAGTGCCAGAGCCGCGGCCCGGCTCGGTGAGTGCAGAATGGCCAGAAGGCGAGTGAGTGGGGCAGGTGGTGAGGTCCTGCGCTCACCTGCCATCCCTGCTCCAGTGCATCACAGATTCGCTGCGCAGCCGAGGCTACAACTCATCCCAGGACTTGCCGTCCCTGGTCCTGGACTTTGTGAAGCTGCACCCACTGATGGCCCGGCCAGTGCTGCCCACACGGGGACGGCCCCTGCTGCTCAAGCGCAGTGTGCGCTACACACACCTCACAGGGACGCCTGTCACCACGCCTGCCGGACTCTCCTATGACCTGCTCTTTCTGGGCACAGGTGCTTCTGACCCCTGACCTGAGCCCTCTGGCAAGTGCTGATCTGAGTCCATGACCTCTGTTGACCTCTTACCCCCGGTTAACCCCAATAACAAAACCCTGGTGACTGCTGATGTTGATTCTTCAACACGCACTCAGTCACCGGCCCCCAGTTGCCACTGGCTTTTGGTGACTGCTGACTTCTGTGGCCAACAGTAATGACATTTACCTGACCACTAGGGCAGCGGAGCCCACTCATTCCTGTCATGACTAGCCCAGAGTGCCCGGTGTCCTGCTACTGCCTGACTGTCCCTGACCTCCTGGCTCCCCAGCTGCTGCCCTTAGGCTCTTGTGAGGGGCCGCAAGCAGGTTCGTTGTTGGACGTTGACTCGATTCTTTCCCTGCAGCTGATGGCTGGATCCACAAAGCTGTGGTCCTGGGCTCTGGGATGCACATCATTGAAGAGACACAGGTGTTCAAGGAGCCCCAACCTGTGGAGAATCTGGTCATCTCTTCAATGCAGGTAGCCCCTGACTTGTGACCCTCAATATGACCTTTAAGAACAGCAGAGGAAGGAAGGGGGCAGTGGCCGTGTGTGTCTGTAGGTGGGAGTGGGGGTGCCGCTGACCAGCTGTTCTCTCTGGTTCCCAGCACAGCCTCTACGTGGGGGCCCCTAGTGGAGTCGTCCAGTTACCTCTCTCCAGCTGTTCCCGCTACCGCTCCTGCTATGACTGCATCCTGGCCCGGGACCCTTTCTGCGGCTGGAACCCCAGCACCCTTACCTGTGTGGTGGCCACCACCGTAGCCAGCAGGGCCCAGGGTAGCAGGTAGGACAGGGAGGGCGAGGGCCCGTGTGCCTGGAAAGGCCTGCCGGCTCGAGGTGGAGTGGGCCTGCGGTGACATCTCTGCTGACCCTTCCGCTGGCTCCCCTCTCATGAGTGCTGATCTGTCTCCAGGTCGGTGGTGATCCAGGACATAGAGCGAGGAAACCGAGGCTGTGAAGGCAACAACAGCACAGGTCAGTGGCACGGGGCTGCGTGTGGGCCTGCTGCAGAGCCAGGCCCGTCACTGCCCCGCGCGTGGTGTCTGTCACACGGGTGGCTCGCGTGCTTCCAGCGAGGGTGGGTCGGACAGAGTCTGCGCTGCGCAGAGTAAGCGTTCAACAAACATTTGCTGCCCAAATGAGTTACAAATTTTCAGTGAGGAGAAACAGGCTTAAAATACTTTCTTTAAAAAAGAATTATTCGTTTATTGTAAGATCTTTTAACTTATTTATTTTACGTGGAAGAACTGGGGTGTGGGCCAGAAGTGCGGGAGAGATAAGAGGATTCCTCAGAGACAGAGTGGGGAGCACAACAGGCGGACTGACTGAAGCACACTGCTGAGGGGAGCAGCGGGCAGTCAGCAGAGGTCTACCTTGCCAGGGGGGTCACCTCCCTGGCTGGGGATGAAACTCAGGCCATCTCGGTGAAAGTCCTGAGACTTAACCCCTGGGTTACCACAGAGGCCCAAAATACAAAATTTCTTGTCTGGAGCTCATAGCCAAGTTGGCATTGGGGGAGCAGGCAATTAAATGATCACACAAATAATTATAAGCCTTTTCATTGGCTTTTGTGACAAAGGGAATAATTACAACTACACAAAGGTTAGAAAAATAATGGGTACTTCCCTGCGGGCACTCAGATGACTAGCTGATATCTGGGTGCACAGTTAAAGATGACAGCGAACACGCACTGAGGACTCACAGTAGGCCAGACACTGTTCAGACGCTGACAAGCCCAATCTAACTTACTCTCACTATGTCCCTGTGTGAGAGGTGCCATGACTGTCATTTCCATGAGCGGTGACCTCTCTGAGACAGCGAGAATAAGTTAGCTGCCCAACGTTAACCAGCTATTAAGCAGCAGGGTCAGAATTCAAACCTGACGGCAAGTGATCTGACTGCAGCTTGCTATTAAAAAAAATAATAATTTATTTATGCATATAGAACTGGCCTACAGGCCAGAGATGCAGAGGACTCCCCAGAGACAGAGTGGGGAGCAGAACAGGTAGATCCACTAAAACACACTGCTGAGGGGAGCAGCGGGTGAGACAGGAGAGGTCTGCTGTGCCCTGCGTGTCAGCTCCCTGGCCGGGGACTGAACTCACGCCGAAGCGGCTGAATTCAGCTTCACAGTGCTGCACTTTCACCCAGGGTGCCACCAGGGATGGTCCTGGAGCTTCCTTTTGATCACTAAGGTGCCCTCTCCCTCAAGTTCACCAGGCCAGTGGAGGGCATGTGGTGGGGAGGACACCCCATCAGAGGGAACAGCCGGCAGATAGAGTGTGGTGTGTTTGGGCAACAAGAGGCTGAACAAAGGCAAGAGTCTGAGGTGTCTGACTTAAGCAACTCAGTAGTTGGTGCTGTCCACAGTGATGGCAGCTCAAGGGAGGCTTTGCCCTACTTCCTGGGACTTGTCCAAGGACCTCACGTGAAAATGCAGCACGTGGAAGGCAGTCAAGTCTGGTGCCCAAGAGGGAACTTGGCAATAGCACAGACTAACTCCAGAGGAGGGGACGACAGCCCAGAGAGAGGAGCAACACCCCAGGCACCGCCTGCCTCCCAGGAAGGGCCAAGCTTGAGTCTGCACGGGCACGGGCACACAGGAGCCTGGCGCTTGTCACAGTTCCAGATTCTGCGCTTGTATTGAGACTTGACAGTGAGCCGCATGGCTCATCACGCTCCAGGGCACCGCCTGGGATCGACAGGCTCTGACAGCTCCTCCTGTCCCCTCCCTCCAGGGCCACCACCACCGCTGAAGACCCGCTCTGTCCTCCGGGGTGATGATGTTCTCCTGCCCTGTGACCAGCCATCCAACCTGGCCAGGGCCCTGTGGCTGCTCAATGGGAGCAGGGGCCTGAGCGACGGGCAGGATGGCTACCGTGTGGGTGTGGACGGGCTGCTGGTGACCGACACACAGCCCGAGCACAGTGGCCACTATGGCTGCTACGCAGAGGAGAACGGCCTGCGCACCCTGCTGGCGTCCTATAGCCTCACGGTCCGGCGGGCCACTCCTGCCCCAGCCCCGCAAGCCCCGGCCCTGCCTGGGACACAACTGGCACCTGATGTGAAGCTGCTCTATGTGCTAGCCATCGCGGCGCTGGGTGGCCTCTGCCTCATCCTGGCCTCCTCCCTCCTCTATGTGGCCTGTCTTCGAGGAGGTAGACGAGGCCGGAGACGAAAATACTCTCTGGGTCGGGCTGGCCGGGCAGGCGGCTCTGCTGTGCAGCTGCAGACAGTCTCAGGCCAGTGTCCAGGAGAGGAAGATGACGGGGACGATGGGGAGGGGCCCGGGGGCATGGAAGCCGGCTGCCTCCAGATCATCCCCGGGGAGGGAGCCCCAGCACCACCGCCTCCCCCACCCCCACCGCCCCCGGCTGAGCTGACCAACGGGCTGGTGGCACTGCCCAGTCGGCTGCGCAGGATGAATGGCAACAGCTATGTGCTCCTGAGGCAGAGCAACAATGGAGTGCCAGCCGGGCCCTGCTCCTTCGCTGAGGAGCTCAGCCGCATCCTAGAGAAGAGGAAGCACACTCAGCTGGTAGAGCACTTGGACGAGAGCTCCGTCTGAGCGCAGCCTCCGGGGCCAGTGCTCTCCCCAGCCGGCCTGGCTGCCCCAGGCTGGGCCACGGCCTCCCCCACACAGTCACCCTACCTTTACAGCCCCCACTCCAGGCCCTCCCCCCAACTTTTTGATGTCCCTGTAGGGCTGGCCAGTGAGGCCCAGCCGAAGCCCTCTCCTCAGTCTTCAAAGACCCACCTGTGAGCAGCCCAGGCCAACCAGTGCTCCTCAGGTAGGCGCTCCCTCGGGGCCTGGTGCTCTGCAGACCCAGCCCAGGCCCTACCCTCTTGACCTACGAATGTGGGAGGAGAGGATACCATTTTCCTGCCCTTTTCTCCACTCAAATCCTTCCTTTCTCCCAGGCAGGGCTCTGCAGGTCCAGATGGCCTCACTGTCACCACCCTCCGGATGGCCCTCTGTGCTGGATGGTCCTGAAACCAGACCAGACCTCTGCCAGCCGCCAGAGCCACCTGAGCCCTGCGTACATGCACATGCGCACATGGAAGAATGTCAGCTGGGCTGCAGGACCCCCACCCCCACCCGGTGCATTCTTGTGTTTCATCCCGCCTTCTGGACTTGGGTACCCTCCCAACTGCCACAGCCCATTCCATCAAACCCTCTCCCTAGTCCCAGTCCCGTGTGACCTATTTGGCAAGAGCTTGGGAACAGGCCATCCTGGGGAGGTAAGACTGTGTCAATCCCCTTTTCTTCTCCCTTAAGTGTGCAGCCCTCGGGAGTCAGCCCTCCCACCCACCCGGGTCATCCTGGGAGTGACAGACAGAGCTCTGGGCATGCACCTTCCTCATGCTCATGTGCTCACATTCCCACTCAAATGCACCTTCTGAGCCTCCCCTTGCTGCCTCCGACCTGTGTGTCAGGTTTGGTCCGTGGACATTTCAGAGGGAGACCCCTCTCCCATACAGCTGTCCTTGCAGACACCCTAGGACGGGTGACCAACTGCACTCAATGAGCCAGCCTCCCTTTTTGGGGACCAAGCATTTGCCACCCCTCGACTAGAGCAGGGGGAGGAGAGATCTGATGTCTCACCTGGCACGTGAAGCCCGTTCTTGGAACTATGCAAAGGACAGAGGCTGGGAGTTTCAGTGCTGGGCTCCCACCCTGTCCTACCTCACCGGGGCACATTCAGGGTCCAGGGGCCTCTAAAGTCTCCAGGCCCATATGGGACAATCAAATCCTGATTGAGCTTCCCCATTTCCTTTGGGTGAGGATGACTGTTATTTTTGTAGTTGAACGTGGAATCCCACGGATTTTTACTGCCCTTCACCCAACCTCTCCCTCCTCTACCCCACAATGAATGTATTTATTGTGAGAACGGCTATACTTCTTTAGGAATGCCCCACTCACCACCTAGGTGGGCGGAACAGGCATGTGCCAGAGTGGGGAGCCCGGGCTCAGCTCCTCCCCACCTCGTTGGTTAATAAATACCCTCTTTACCCACACTGAGTGAGTGGTCTGCTTGTTCTAGATGAGCCTCCCCCAATCAGCAAGTCACAGGCTGCTGCGTCTGTGGAGATGGTGCTGCAGGGCTGACACCCATAAAGCCTTTTGCAGAGAAAACTGGGATCCTCAGCTTCCATCCTGACTGCCCTGAGCAGGTACGCAGGCCTTTATTAAGGCTCGTGCTATTCACTCACTAGTGCTGGGGTGAGACAAAACTGTAACAGTTCAAGAATTCAGGAATCTTCTATCTCCTGGCTCTTCCTCATCATCCCACCCTTTTCTAGCTAAGCCTAGATAGAAGTTGTTCCCTATTTATCAGTCCTCTTCCCAAGCTTTTCAGAACCACCCCCCCACCCACGAGACATGAATTCCTTCCTTCAGAGGTGCCTGTCTTAGTGGTAAAGTTGGAACTGGGCTTGTTACTTGAGACTCACATTCAAGGGTCAGGCCTAGCCTTTGACACTCAACATCCTAAGGGTTGGACTAAGTTCTGCTTCAGATCTTACAATAATGAAATAGAGGATTATATTTAAAATATACACATTTCCAAGATTTCACATGTGAATTTGGGCAAATATTTATTAACCTGATTTTATCGTCTTTACACAAAGTGCCTAGCCCAATGCCCAGCAAGAGTATAAGGTGCTAGTTCTCGCTAGCTCAACGGCTGCACAAATGGGAAATCAAGACTCCAGAAGCCCACTTTGAAATCACTCACTGTGATTTGAGGTCACTATTATTGACCCAGATTCCAGAAATGAGGACACAGTAAATTCCATGAAGAACCTCACGTTTCAAGATGTCAACTGGACAAGAACTAGGGAACTCACAAAGTCACTGCCCCTAGCAGTGGGCGGGCTAAAGAACCGGGCATCTGTTCTTTGTTCCAAGCTGCAGCCTTCCCTTTCCGGGCCCCAAGTGTCCACCTGCGCTTGGAATTCCCAGAGTCAAAAAAACAAGAATCATCTCTTCCAGGATAAGAAGCCAAAGCTTGGAGTTGGCGCTCGTGGGGCAACTCTTCACTGAGCTTGCTCCTGGGCTGGGGCGGCACCGGCATCCTGGACCTCTCGGGGGCGCAGGCCGCCCGCCCTCGTGGGTTTGTTGGTGAACGGGTGCCACTGGCCCTGGATGCTAGGGTTGTCCGTGTGGAAGGGCTTGCGGATGCGGATCACATCCAAGCCCGACTGGTCCGCCAGCTTCTGCACCAGGGTCGCGATCTCCTCGGCCGACTTGCAATGGAGGCTTTCCTCGCGCACAGCCCCGTTAACTGACCGGAGAGGGGTGGGCGAAGGAGAAAGGGGAACGCGCGGCCCCCAAAAGTCAACGAGAGGCACAAAGGCAGGCCGAGCTTCCCGCCCCCGCCCCACGCCGCCCTCAGGCCCCCACGGCCCCACTCACGGTATTCCGCTACTACTCTGGGCACGAAGCACGGCCGCGGGTTCACGTATATTACGACTCCGGGGTTCCGTCGGGCGAAGTCGGCCACCTCCCGTTCCACGAACTCCCTGCGGGATCCCAGCAGTGAGCAGAGACCCTGGTCCGGGCGGCCCCCAGCAGGGGGCGCGCCCGGCCCTCCCCCGGCTCACCTGGCGCCGCGGGACGAGGGCGCGTCGCGGCTGAGGCTGAGGCTGAGGCGCTGCAGCTGCTGCACGTAGCGCCCCAGCCCGTTGTGGAGGACACTGGCGAGGAAGCGGCTCGGGGTCCCGCGCGCCGTCATGGTCACCGCGGCCAGGTCGCCGAGCACAGCCTGGCGGCTCGGGGGCGGGGCTCCCTCCATGCCTTCCGGTTCCGGGGCCCCGGCGCCCGCTGCGGTTTTGCTTCCGAGGTCATGGCGAGTGGCGCGCGGGAGTGACCCACGTTGCGGGCGAAAGGGGTGAGCGCGGGTGGTGGTGCGCGGCAGGTCCCGAGCGGCGGAGCGCAGGGAAGACACGGGGGAGAGGTGGGCGTCTCTTTGGGCACGGAGGGGTCGGGGGCCCTTGAGCCCGCTTCGAGGTTGGAGCCGCGAGCGTCTCCTGTTGGGGCCCTAGAGCAGGGGGCTGCAGAGAGGACGCGGATGGCTGCGGAGAGGAGGGCGAAGAGCAGAAGCCGTGGAGGGGCGGCGGTGGCGAAGAGATGATGTAGAGAAGCCTGGTCGGCCAGCAGCGGTGCGGGGGGCTAAGAGGATGCATCCGTGCGGGAAGAAGCTGTGACGGACCTTGGGGCAGGCGCCTGATAGAGGGACATCCGCGTGAAAGCATCGTATTGGTGACTTAGTGAAGTAGCAATGTAGGCAGGCTAAGAGGACCCGTGGGTTTTAAGAGAGAAACCGTCCAGTGCGGGAGGACCCTAGGGTCTGACCTGCTGACGGCAGCCAAACTAATAAAGCATCTCAAGTCGTGACTTTCTCCATTTGACCAGGCATGTGGATCCTCCGGCGAGGTAGCCACCCCCTCCGCATCCTGCTGTCCCTGCGGGGGGAATGGATGGGCCGGAGGGGTCTGCCCCGAAGCTTGGTCCCGGGCCCTCCTCGTAGACGGTACAGGAAGGAGGCTCTCCCAGCCTTGGAAGTCCCTGCACTGCCTGTAACCACAACTGAAATCCGCCAGTATTTGCGGGCGCATGGGATACCCTTCCAAGATGGCCACAGCTGCCTGCGGGCACCGAGCCCCTTTGTGGGGGCCTCTCAGCTCCAGGACCAGGCTGGTGCTGCCACTTCCTTCAGCCTTTTCATTGACAAGACCACGGGCCGCTTTCTCTGCATGACCAGCCTCGCTGAAGGGAACTGGGAAGACTTTCAGGCCAGCGTGGAGGGACGAGGGGATGGGGCCCGAGACGGGGTCCTGCTTAGTGAGGTCCCAGAAGCTGAGGACAGTGAGGAGGTTCTGAGGATCTGGGACCGAGCCATACCTCTCTGGGAGCTGCCCGAGCCAGAGGAGGCCAGGCTTACTCGGGTGATGTTTGGCCTTACCAAAGTGACAGATGACACGCTCAAGCGTTTCAGTGTACGCTATCTGCGGTCCGCCCGCAGCCTTGTTTTCCCTTGGTTCTCCCCTGGAGGTTTGGGGTTACGCGGCCTGAAGCTACTCGGGGCCGAAAGTCAGGGGGATGGTGTGCGCTACGTGGAGACCACCGTTCCCAGGCCGGGTGCCTACCACAACCTGTTTGGATTACCACTGATCGGTCGCCGAGATGTCGAGGTTGTGCTGACAAGTCGTGAACTGGACAGCCTGGCCTTGAGCCAGTCCACAGGGCTGCCCACCCTCACCCTCCCCCGAGGAACGGCCTGCTTACCCCCGGCCTTGCTGCCTTACCTTGAACAGTTCCGAAGGATTGTGCTCTGGCTGGGGGATGACCTTCGGTCCTGGGAAGCTGCCAAGTTGTTTGCCCGAAAACTGAACCCCAAGCGATGCTCCTTAGTTCGGCCTGGGGACCAGCGGCCCCGTCCTCTGGAAGCCCTGAACCAAGGCTTAAATCTGCCCCGTATCCTGCGCACTGCACTGCCCGCCTGGCACAGGTCTATCGTGTCTTTCCGCCAGCTTCGGGAGGAGGTGCTCGGAGAACTGTCAAACGTGGAGCAGGCAGCTGGCGTCCGCTGGAGCCGCTTCCCAGACCTCAATCGACTCTTAAAGGGACATCGGAAGGGCGAGCTGACTGTCTTCACAGGTGACCCTTTGCTTGGGATAGGAGGCAGAAGGTCAGGTGACAAAAACGGGGGTTGGTGCTGTGGAAATGTTGAAGAGGAGCCCACCCACCACCCCTCCACTCCCCGATGCCCTGACTCTGAAGCCCTGCTCTGTGGTTTGGTTTTGGTTTCAAGGTTAGAGCTTTACTCCCTCACCCAGGTTTACGTTTGACACCCACTCCCCAACCCCCTGCAGGGCCAACTGGCAGTGGGAAGACCACTTTCATCAGTGAGTATGCCCTGGATTTGTGTACCCAGGGGGTGAACACGCTGTGGGGTAGCTTTGAGATCAGCAATGTGAGACTGGCCCGCGTCATGCTGACACAGTTTGCGGTGGGGCGACTAGAAGATCAGCTGGACAGATACGACGAATGGGCAGACCGCTTCGAGGACCTGCCCCTCTATTTCATGACTTTCCATGGGCAACAGAACATCAGGTAAGACTCCCAGAGTTGGAATTTGCAGAGAGTGGGAGGGCAGGAAAACAGACCCCCAGTTTTCAGTCTCAGGCCTTTCTGAGGTGGTCTAGAGAGTCCTTGTAACAGATTCCTGAATGCGTGACCTCTTTCTCTTCTCAGGACTGTAATAGACACCATGCAACATGCAGTCTATGTCTATGACATCTGTCATGTGGTCATTGACAACCTGCAGTTCATGATGGGCCACGAACAGCTGTCCTCAGACAGGTGACGTTCTTGTTTAGCTGCCACCCACGGGGATGCACGTCTTCTCAGGCCACTGGCCTCTGTGCACACACTGTACTCTTGTCTTCTGACCTTAGTGCAGATACATCCCAAATGTGCTGTGGTCATCATAAGGTGTGGGCAGTGGGAAGTACAGACAGGGACCAAAGTGGGGTAGAGGGAAGTAGAGTTGGGTGGTTTGTGGGAAGATGAGAATGAATCCAGAGTGTCTGTGTGTTCTTGTCCTTCTGTGTCCAGTAATCTCATTGCTTTGTTGGGTTGGAGACAGGATTGCTGCTCAAGACTACATTGTTGGGGCCTTCCGGAAGTTTGCGACAGACAATAGCTGCCACGTGACCCTGGTCATTCACCCCCGGAAGGAGGATGATGATAAGGAGCTGCAGACGGCATCCATATTTGGCTCAGCCAAAGTAAGTAACCTTTAGAGGAGCCGCCCACGGAGAAGGGGCTACAGGTGTGATTAGGAACAGGCCGCGTGCAGCCATCAGCCATCAGTCATCGACCAAATGGAAGGGGCAGATGGCTGCTGCCTCTGTGGCCACGGCATGAGGAAAGCATGTGCTGGGAATACAAAGGCCCAAGTGGTTGGTCCTTTGCCCTTCAGAAGCTCGTGCCCTCACAGGAGGAAAAAATGAGACTGATTACAGCTCAGTATGCTAAGAACTATAAGAGGCAGTGTGTGTATTGGGGAGCAGAGAGAAAACACGCCTGAGTCAGCCTGGGCCATCTGGGGAGACTTCCTAGAGGAGGCAGAAAGGTGGAGTTTTGGCAGACAACAGGTGTTGAGCAAGCAAACAGACGAGAGGGCCTTCTGGGCAGCAGACGAGCCTGATCCAAGAGTTTCCAGTGGTACATTGAATGCCTTTACATGCCAGGCTTGGGCTGGGCACAGGGTATCCAAGACAGGGAGCTCAGACTGTGCCTCGATGGGACAGACTTGGAACTGGAGAAGAAGAGAGGAGTGGGAGGCGCTGGCCCTTTCTTCAGTCCTGCTGTTGAGACCGGGCTCTGATGAAGTGTGACACTTAGACTGAGACCTGAGTGATACGAAGCTGGCGCTACGTGGGGAAGTTCTCTGTGGAGAAAGTTCCGAATGGGAAGAAGGTCACTGTGTGGAATGGGGCTGAAAAATTTAAGTGGCCCCAGCATTCATTTGTTCAGTAGTATCAAGGCCGCCTTGGTGACGGAAAGAAGCACTGTCCCCGCTCCCATTCCTGCCCCCCTCCCTGCACATCAGCTTCCTCTCTGCTTCTCTCATGTCTTCTCATTCCTCTGCCCCACCCCCAGGCAAGCCAGGAGGCCGACAATGTTCTGATCCTGCAGGACCGGAAGCTGGTGACTGGACCAGGGAAACGGTATCTGCAGGTGTCCAAGAACCGCTTTGATGGAGATGTAGGTGTCTTCCCACTTGAGTTCAACAAGAGCTCTCTCACCTTCTCCATACCCCCAAAGAGTAAGGCCCGGCTCAAGAAGATCAAGGATGATAATGGGCTGGTTGCCAAAAAGTCCTCTTCTAGCAAAAAGGGTGCTGTGTCCCAGGACTCTGACCAGGGCTCAGACCAGGCCCTCCAACCCCACTTGCCAGACCCCTCCAGGCCTTCACAGTGAGGGCAGAGTGGAGCTGGTCGCTGAGCTGAGCCTGATGGGACACACTGAGCTGTCCGCTCTTCCTCAGCCCTCTCTGAGGTCTGCCTCTATGGGTGGCTCTGAACTCAATGACCTGATACGTGGCTTTCACTGGGAGACATTTTACTGTAGCAGCTACTTGGGAACCCACTGTGTGCCAGGCTTTGTTCTGGAAATGTAGCACTGACTAAACCGACAAGGTCCCAGCTCTCAGGGGACCTGCAGTCTGGAAGGAGACAATTTTAGTTAGTGGAAAGCGCTAGAGAGAAAATTAGACCAGTACTGCAGTAGTGCCTATAAGCTAGTTTAGATTAAGGTCTGAAAAGGTGTATCTCAGCAGAAGACAGCTTTGGGGGGCCTGATGAACTAGAATTGAGCCATGTGAACATCTGGAGAAAGGGATCTGGCAGAGGGAAAAGTAAGTGCCACGGCTGAGGTGGGAGTGAGCAGGGCGAGCTCCAAGCCTTGGGGTCAGGCCCTCTGAGCCTGGAGGAGAGGGGACAGGACATCTTGCCAAACCACAGCCTAGGCTTGCCGACCCAAAGTGTGTAGGTTGGTACCAGGTTCCACTGCTCCCCACTCTGAGCCTACTGTGAGGTAGCACTCACTAGCACGAGATCTTAGGTGCTTAGCGCCCCAAAGGTGGGAGCCTGGTCATGGGGCCATGGAAGGAAGCTGTGAACCTACGTGCCAGCCACCTGGACACCAGTTGCTTGGTACGCTGCCCAGCTGCCTGAGCGGCGCGGCCAGGCCTTTTTTAGAGCCTTTTCCAGTTTTACTGAAAAAAAAAAAAAAAAAAAAAAAAAGTTTTTTTTTTTAATAGCCTTTGTTTCTGTGCTTTTTCTTCTTTGTCCACCAGGTGTCTCCCCAGGACATAACTGGATTTTGCTCTTTTTTGTTTGTTTGTTTTAAGCTTTATTTATGCATATAAGAGCTGGGGTACAGGCCAAGAGGTACAGGGGATGAGAGGATTCACCAGAGACAGAATGGGGAGCACTCTGAAATACACTGCTGAGGGGAGTGGCAGGGAGACAGGAGAGGTCCCCTGAGCCATGTTGGTCAGCTCCCTGGCCAGGGATCAAACTCTGCTGCAGTGGCTGCAGACAGCTTCACAGTACTAAGAGGAAACCCCTGTACCACCCGGGAGGCCCCTGCTCTCATTTTGAATTGGAAATAGATGGATGCCCTCCCCCTACCTGAGGTCTTTGAGTTGTGTGCTCCCAGTGAAGCAAGGGCATAAAGGGGCTTGCACACACACACACACCCTTGTACCTCTTCTTGGTCTAGTGAAGACGGGTGCCTCTTTCTGCCATGAGGCTGTCCATGTGAAGCCTGACAGAGGTGGGTCCTAGGCCTGCCCCACCAACTGTCCCTCTAACGTGTGCCACTCTCTGACCTCTCAGTATATCCTGAGGTTTAGCTTGTTTGTATCTGGGCCCCCGCCCCATCTGTCTCCTTCCTCCTTGTATCCTCCCAGTGTTGCTTATGTTGGTGCGAACCTCTCGGATGCTTGTTACAAATGAGAACTTGGATCCTCCTCTCTCATTACTGATACACACAACGTGCGTGCGCACACACACAGACTTTCTAATTCTGGAGACTTGGATTCCTCCATTTTTAACAAGCCCTAAAGATTGTGAAATATATTGTCCATAGGCCCTATCAGAAATGTCCTTAAGTGATGACACTGTCTCGCTTCCTCTGGAGCCTCAAGTCCCAGTTTCCTTTTAGCTTTGCCTGCAGGATGTTCTGAGGAGCTGAATGTTAAGAACCTTTTGTGGGGGGTAAGGGGGGGGTCCCTGTTCCCTGGAAACAGAATTGTTTCTTCAAGTTCTCCCTGTCAAAGGGGGGCTCCTGGGACCTTGTGGAAGGATTTGGGGTCCCTGGTATAATCGTGAGAACTGGCTACAGTTGTCTCCTGAAACAGACCCTGGAGCAAAGCTGTTCTCCAGGGGCAAGAACCTGGGGGAAGGGAAGGGGTAGCTCCTTCAGGGCCTCCCTTCTTGGGGGTCTCGCAGACTGGCTGGAGCCGGGCCTCCTAATCCTGCAGTAATCATTGCCAGCCGCTGGCTGGTCTAGGCCTCATCCGGAGTCTAAGGCTGAAAAGCAGCTACGCCTTCCAGATGCACACCACCAGGTCAGATCTACCGCGGGGACATGTGTTCTGCATTCTGGTCTCCCTGAGAGTTCTAGTGTGTCCACAAGGGAATCTTTAGGGGGTGTCCATTAGGGGATCTTCCCAAGATCTCTGAATTGGGGGTGTCTGGATAGATGCACACCTACCTGTTTATCTTGCTCCAGCCTGCACCCCTGCCCCCCATACAGCAAAAGCAAGAATGATGGGGGCAAGGATAAGCTAATGCTTCCCCTGCCCCACCCCCTACACAAACGCATTCCATTCCACACCTCTCTTAAATGTTTTACCTCAAGATTAGCCCAAAGTATGTTCAAGAGTCCATGGAGTCTAGAAGCAGTGGAGGATCCTAGAGTCCTGAGTGCAGCCCCTGGGAGCAGCTAGCACTGTGTGAAGTGAAAGTGAATTGAGGCAAATTACTTAGGACCAGTACTCTGCCTATGTCCACCTGGATGTTAAGAGCTCAGAGAGGGCCTGGCCAACCCTGTCCAGGGGTCTGCAGCCCTGTTGTCAGATTCAGTGACCCACTTGGCTGTGAGGGGCAGCGTCACTCCAGGTGGGAATGAGAAGGGACTAAGCTGGCTGGGATTCTTGCTGCTCAGGAGTCTGGCTGCACACGTGGCCCAAGGCCCTGCAGACTTCAGTCTGCCCACACCAGGGTGTCATGGGCAAGGGAGTGCTTGGTGCCTCCCTGCAATACAGGCCAACTTCCTGTTTATACCTGTGGGTGGAACTTTATATGAGTCTAAGAGAAGCCTGGCATACTCCCGGGGAGGGGAGGGCAGACCGGGGAGGTCTGCTCACCTGGGGAGATACCCACTCCAGGGGACGGGGAGGGGCTGCTTCTGCTGGGGCAGCCAACCTTAGGGGAGGGGGAGGGTTTGTTTTAGTGAAACCGAACCTCCTTTGTCTGCTTTCCAGGGGTTTTCCCTGTGTCTGGGGAGTGGGTGAGAGTGGACCACGTTCGGCTCCCTGCAACCCTGGAGAGGGTGGCGATATCGTCGGATGGCCAGTGTTGGTAGGGCAGCCAGGTAGCTGAACTGTTGATTCCTTGCTGCTCACCCCGCCCTAAAGCCCTAAAGCCAAGTCCAGTGAGCTGTGAAGTGAGAGGGGCAGCCTCAGGTCACCTACTGCTCGGCGGGTACTGGGCAGGCTGTTGAGGGGTTGCCGGGCGGACCACTCCCCTTGCAGGGTCGGGGGCGCGGCCTCAGCGCCCCGCCCCGCTCCACCAGGCCTGGGCAGGCGGACGCCCGGAGTCCGGAGCTCCGAGCGGGCTTGGGAGCCGGCGGATCCACAACTAGGAGGTGCCGGCGCGGGAGCTGAAGCCGAGCGCGAGGGCGAGCGGCGGCGCAGGTGGCGCCGGGTGAGTAGGGGAGACGCGGAGGTGGACGAACTCCCGCCTCTTGCGTGTCCTTGCTGCGGAGCGAACTTTCCTGGTCTGGGGAAACTGTGGGCTGGGGTGAGAGGGGACGATCCCCATGGTGGGGGGGCGCAGGTGAGGAGTCCAAACAGCGACCGACACGGAAACTCACGCCGACGGGTGACAACAGACCACGCGCGCACTTGGGGCACACGAACACACGTGCGTGCGAGAAGGCATGCGCCCGGTGGGTTTCACTTAGAGCTCCTGCAGCAGCGCCACTGGCCCGCGCTGACCCCATCAGACGGGACACTTGGCTGTCGCTGTCGCAGACTTAACGGGGATGGGAGAAAAGGGCCCTAGGTGACCGCGACGGGGGCGGGCCGGTGACGCATCCCGGGGTTCCTGCTTCCTGGCTGCGGCAGGTGAAGACTGCGACGTAAACAGCACCCTGCACGTGATCGCTCCTCAAGCGAAAGAAAAGTCTATACTCCTTCCACCCCGGCATCAGGGCGTGAACCTCCCTGCGCAGTTCAGGGCGGGCTCGCAGCGTCCCAAGCTGAGCTGTATTTCATTCTCCGCCTGCAGAGGTGGTGTGGTCTCCCAGAAAAGAGAGCACAACGCCCCCTGGAGTTGGGGTACCTCTGGAGGACCGCCGATTGTTGGGCTAGGGTGGGGTTACCTGGCCTTGCTTCCTCAACACAGTTCTTGATGCCTCCATCGGTGGAGAGCAGAAGGGGGCGCTGTTCTTGATGGCAGTGAACAGCTGTCCCCGCCTGGTACCTCCAGCCAGGCGAGAAGCTTCCTGAGCGCCGGTGGGTCCCCTTTCTACTACCAACCCTCCTTACAGAACTGGGAACTACTCGCGGCCCGCGCACCGCCACCGTCCCCCCTACCATGTAGGAGTCGAAAGCCCACTCATACAGGAGAGCCCTCTTCCCCTGAAAATGCGTGAGCATAAATATCCCTTCTATGCTGGAGTGGCACTATCACCTACCCTCAGAAGGCACAATGAGCCCCCCCTTTCACTCCCCTACCCTGCTGACACTCGGCCTCCTCGCCTGCCCCACCCCCACCCCTACACACACACACACACACACACACACACACACACACGCTGAGCCCAGCTGCTGCCTGAGCTTCTGGGCTTGATGCCAGGAAGGGGAGGCGGCTCCTAGCACCCCAGGAGGCTGGGATCAGGGCAAGGCCAGTGGAGGGGGTCTCCACTGGGGAGAGGGGGTCAGTCTGTTCTTGTGAGGCTGAGGGTCTGGGGTAAGACTGAAGGTGGCTGGGCCATGTTTCCCTTTCCAGGGAAAAAGAAAGAAAAACAACCCTTTCCATAGAGCTAAAAATAGAGTTGAGAGCCAGCCAGGACTGTGGCCCAGGGAGGAGGGGGTGCTCTTTCCTGGGGCAGAATAGAGCTCTAGCAGGCCTTGGCCCTAGCTGGGGGGGCAGAGAGGGAGGGCGGAGGGGTGGCCGCAGGCTGGCTGTCCTTGCTCAGGGGTACAAGCATTAGTGACCTGATCTGGTCACAGAGACCCCTGCGGGGATTGTCTGTCTGTGTCTGTGACACTGAATCCATAGGAAAGATGCTTCAGAGACCGAGTGTATTTAAGTTTGGGTCTGGATCCAAAGGACTGAATTGTTGTGAAAGGCAGTTCACACCTAGGCGGGTGACACCTAGCGTGTCTATGTGTGAGTTGGCCTGAATTATGGAAATAAGGAGCGTCAAACCACGTAGTGGTGAGACTGATTGTGACTGAGACTGAATGTTGGGAAAGGTCACGTGGGTGTTTAGATTGTGTTGCTTGCGAGGGAGAATATGTGGACCTGGGAAGACCGGGACATGAGGCTGGTATAGATCTGGAACGGCTCGCCCTTGTGATTGTTGGGGAACCAAGGCTTCCTCTCTTCGAGCAACGACCTAGCTTAACAAATGACTGTAAGGGAAGGCTGGGGAACACGGAGCCATGCCCGCCTCTGACTCCTGGGAAGCGGGGTAGGGGCTCCTAAAGTTGGGGCTACCGGGTGTCTTCTCCGAATGGGCCGCCAGGTGGCGCCACTTCTCAAAGCCAAGCGTGCCGCCTCCAAGCCCCTGGGGGTGGGGCAGGCGTGGACCCAGCCTCGGTCCCCGACTTGTGCTGGGGCGCAGGGCCCCGGGAGCCCAGCCGAGTGGGGAGCAGCTGACCTCGGCCTCCCGCTCTGGGCTCCAAGGCTGGAGAGTGTGTCTGGGGAGGAGGCCTAACTAAGGAGCGGAGGGGGGAGGGCGGCTGCCGCGGCGCAGGGCCTTTGTGCTCGAACAATGACCGGCCGCCGCTGGCCCCGGGGCGCGGGTTCGAGCGGTGGGC